AGATTCCCTCAGAATACCACGAATACCTAGCAAAATGCATGCCTAAAGCAGACATCTCGTTCACAGCCACCTCAAGTCCCGATATTAAATGCATTGAAGTGTATGAAGCGAATGAAGCGCTGCAAATGAGACCTAAGGAGAGACCAGGTTATCACGTCGGCTCTCACAAAAAAGGAACTAAGCATACGAAGGTCCAAAAATTCCGTAGAATCGTTCGAGCCTTTCGCCGAACTCTTTCGTTCCTCCACCTTTGAGCCTGAATGCCCGATGCTCCATGTTGAAGAGCTTCCTGCTATCCTAGAATCGAAGTGGCAGATACGATAAGAAGCATGAGGAAAGGAGCAGCTCCAGACCTGGACAGTATCCCTGCGGATTGCTCCATTCTAGAAGTACCGCTCTTCACACTTCTGTTATGGAGCACTTTGACCATAACTTCGAATTAAGGAGGAGTTCAGACCAAAGGACCGTCACTCTATTCAACAAAGTTCGTCGGGCAAACATCTCCAACCACAGTCCCATCAGTTTTTTTTCAATGGTATATACAGTAGAGCTTGAAAGTATTCGGCTGAGTAGTGACTTTTTCTCGGTGGAGCAAATCGCATGAAGTTTTGATATGTTTAAGAGAGACATATTTCACAGTACCCTACACTATTTAAGTGCAAAGCAGCAATGTCCACATAACTGAGGGAAAGGCGATTATAGACTATGCTGAAAGCAAGTTTGTGACATCTGCGGTTATTCGTACCTTATGTGCGTTTTTCTCCTCCAGTGTGGTTGACATTAGCGCTCGTAAACTTTGGGTATGGCAAAAAGGGAAGGCATCCTAGGAGCGCCAATGTGTGTATTTCCACTTGGTTTTGATTACAAGCTCTCTGGAATATTTGGAACATGATCAGAGTGAGGGTTAATAGTAGTAAATATTCACACTGCACCCATGCTACACCTATTGAAATTTTGCATGATTAGATCCAGTAGGAAAGGAGTTGCGACTGAAATTACGACTTAAGAAGCATTTGGCCGAATACTTTTGAGCGCTACTGTAGGTCGGTCGTTCACGCAAATTCTGCTCAATCGCATGGAAGGCACTTCGGACGAGTACGGGCCCGTGGCGCTGATCGGATTCAGGAAAAACGTTTACTGGGACACGCCGAGAGTATGACCTTTCTCAAACCCTTTTTCCTCAGGAACACAAGAAGGCATTCAACTCTATGCACGTCAACGCTGTTCTAAATGCGCTTCTGCGAGCAGGAATCGCCTCCGCCTGTGTCCAGCTGCTCGAGCAGTTCTTCTAAACACATCAACAACCAACCAACCTGTAGAACCCGGTTTAGGAAGAAAGGATATTCCTCTCAATAGTGGGAACGACCGATTCTCTCCTTTGCCGATGATGGCCTCTTGATATCTAGCAGCACTGCCGAAATGGAAGGGGATGTCAACGAGCTCAATGCGGCTAGCTTGCTGATAGGCTCAAAGACAAAGGTGTCCAAAACACAGTTGGTGCTGAACAAGTATTGCGATATGGGAACAATCAAACTAGAGGGAAAAGCTCTACAAAGAGTTTAATCCTTAGTGTATCTGGTGGAAATAGGACATAACATGATGATCTGTTACTGAGTTGTTTTCTTTAACTCTTCACGAGGTTTGTATACAAGCTTCATTAGGCTGGCGTTTCAGCGGAGTCGCCTTCTTCAGAGCCTAGAAAGATCATAACAATTCATGACTATCCGATCAAACGTCTCCACTGCCACACTGAAGTTCGAGACCTCCAGGGCACGCAGGTAATTAAAGGAGAACCACTCACCGTAGCTTTGTGGATTTTTTGAAACCAACCAGCAATCGATGATAATAATCGACCAGTCTCAGCTGGGGTAGGTCTTCATTCAGAGTTTCTGTGGGAAGGCCAACTTTATATAAGGCCGCAGCTCCCGCGTGATTGCGAGGCATTCTTCCCTACGATTCATTTTTGGATCGGTGACTTGTATCCACAATGCCTCGAGGGTTTTGCGCGCGGATAATTGCGATTCCTGTGCCACGACCTCCACGGTGACTTCAAAAACGCCTCCGTTGTGTTTTACATTCGATGACTCCCTAAGGCAGTGGACTCGTTCAATCGCTTCATACCATCTATGTGCTCCTTAACTCTCACGTGGAGTGGTCTTGCCGTTTTTCCAATATACTCATCCCCACAATCACGGCAAGTAATTTTGTAGACCACCCCAGACATGTTACAATCACCTTCCCTTGCAGCTGTACAAACCACACAGTTTGAGGTTGTACACAGGCGATCGTACATCCTGTTTCGAACCAGGCGCTTCTTCAGATTGAGGGGTGGTACGATAACAATAACGAGTCCACTGCCTTAGGGAGTCATCGAATACAAAAGCATAACGGAGCCGTTTTTGAAGTCTCCCCTCGAGGCATTTTGGATGCAAGTTACCGATCCAAAAGTGAACCGTAGGGAACGCGGGAGCTGCGGCCTTATATAAAGTTGGCCTTCCCATAGAAACTCTGAATGAAGACCTACCCCAACTGAGACTGGTCGATTATTATCATCGAATGCTGGTTTGTTTCAAAGAGTCCACAAAGCTACGGTGAGTGGTTCTCCTTTAATCACCTGCGTGCCCTGGGGGTCTCAAATTTCAGTGTGGCCGTGGAGACGTTTGTTCGAATAGTCATGAATTGTTATGATCTTTNGAAACGTCAGCCTAATAAAGCTTGTATACAAACCTCGTGAAGAGTTAAATAAAACAACTCAGTAACAGAACAATTATGCCGAGATTCATAGAAAGCCGTACGTGGAAGTTGCAACACGATGAAGGTTTTGCTTCAAAACTAAATCTCAGAAAACGTGCTGCACGGGCAGCTTTTGGTTCAATTCGTGAAATGACAGACCAGGTCAGTGATCCCAACCTCAAGACATTGATATTCAACGCCTCAACATTGCCAACAATGTGTTGTGTGAATGAAACATGGCCTGACAACGAACAATCGCTAAGAATATAGGAACTTCTCATCACGCAATAAAAAAGGTTTTCTAAAGATCAGCCGACGTCAGCAGTCTCAAGCTGTTCAGAACTGGAGGAGAAATCGTTTTCGAAAGATTCGCTTAAATCATGGCACATTAAAAGTGGGTCAGTCATTTAAACATTTCGTCAAAAAGATGAAAGATTGAGTCTCCAAGCTGTGTGTATGTGTGTATGTGTGTATGTGTGTATGAGTGTATGTGTGTATGTGTGTATGTGTGTATGTGTGTACCAGTCGGGCCACCCGGTCAACGCCGGGCTTCCCTCATTCTTATGGGTCCGTCCGGCTACGCCGGGCGCTCCTCCTTCCTGTAAGAAAATTGCTATGCTGAAATAACACTTCGGAATCTCGTTTTTCTTTGAAAGCTCGACACCCTCAGTATTAGCTTCGAATTGGATGCGATTTTTTTCCGTAAGCCATCCTCGCTGTGTCCGAACAGAACATCGTATAACATCAGAAAATGCGATTATTCAGAGAAAAAAATATTCAGAGACTTCATCACGGCTGAGTCTACTACGTAAGCTACCATCAATGTTCCCAGCCAACTCCTTGTGCCTTCAAGTTTCATCGATCTGGGTCCGATCGAACGGTATTTACTCACGCCCCGCCTTTTGGGGCGGAGTTTAGTCCTGCAACCTATCATCAGTGTACCTATCCTGCCTCCTGTATTCGTACCAAGTCGCTCTAGGTTCATTTTGACTTTATTCTGCAAGCCCCCTCCCCCTATGGGCGAAGTCCGGTCCTTCCACCTACCATAAGTGTACTCATCCTGCCGCCCGTACTCCTACCAAATATGAGCGCTATAGGTCCACGAGAACAAAAGTTAAGCATTGTTGCTCAAACTCCGCCCATTGTGGGCGGAGTCTGGTTCTGCAGCTCACCATAAGTTTCTTATCATGCCGCCTGTACTCCTACCAAATTTGAACGCTTTAGGTCCACGGGGACAGGAGTAATGAATTTTCCAGGCAGACCCACACACATACACACATACACACAAACACACCAACAGACACACTTAGCCGATTATATATGTGTGTATGTGTGTATGTGCANTGTGTGTGCGTGTATGTGTGTGTATGTGTGCATGTGTGTATGTGTCAGGGCGGGACAGAGAGAAGCGTACCGGTGGGGTCCCGCCAAAGAGGAAATGCCCGTAAGATCAAATACCGAGGAGTCGAGGGGGGTCAAGAGTACTGATCAGTAGTGATCAGGAGGTAGGAGGCTAGAAGGAGTAAACATGCCTGGGGAGAGAAAAGGCGCGGGAAAGACCGTATAAAGGGGTAACCTGGAGAGGGAGAGGTCGTCTTGTGTTCTCCTCCTTCGACCGCCGCCAGTACCCTCACGGAGTTGGCTCCGTGCCCGTAGAACTTCGGTGAGACATCGGGGCGAACCTTTGTGGTTCGCGAACGAGGTAATTAGAGGAAGGCCTCAGTGGCCGGTTCGTCTTTGGTGGGACCCCCCTGCATTCTCTCTGCCCTGACTCTCGGAGGATCTTTGGTTGTACTGTCTTTTTGATTTTGGTTTTTTCGCATCAGTATTGTATTTGTGTTCGGAGTTTTTTTCGCTTTTGTTCATAAACTAGTTATTTCTCGTGTTGTACCACAGTCGAAACAAATCACCCGTTCAGTGTAGTCCCTAGTAGGGACCCTTACATATGTATGTATATGTGTGTATGTGTGTATGTGTGTAAGTAAGAGAATTTGGACTAGGTCGCAATTTGAGAACCCTTACAAAACTGTCGGATGCACTTTCTTTAAAATCGTATACGTGTCGAACCAACCTTGAGCCTCAATTTTCATTGCACCCCTTATTAGTAATCCACAGACCATCTCAATACATGTTCGTACCATCGCAGACACTGCTCCCTCAACTTTAAGTAGCTAGGAGCTGCTCGCGTGACCGCTCTGACGTCTATGTGTGTATGTGTGTATGTGTGTAAGTAAGAAAATTTGGAGTAGGTGGCAATTTGAGAACCCTTACAAAACTGTTGGATGCACTTTCTTTGATATCGTATAGGTGTCGAACCAACCTTGAGCCTCAATTTCCATTGCATCCCTTATTAGTAATCCTTTGACCATCTCAATAAATGCCCGTACCATGGCAGACACTGCTCCTTCATCTTCAAGTGAGTAGGGGCTGTTCGCGTGACCGCTCTGACGTCTCCGTTTTGATCCGCCCAATCGCATCCTATCGCTTGTTTATCTGAGCAGCCGCTTCTCAGGAGTGAAGTTGTCTGTCATGATTCCTACCTACTCGATAACATTCGCTGCTGGAGAGCATCGTGAGCCCCACTATTGTTCGGCACACCATTTCCCTAATACTCTAGAGCACGGACGTTCGCGGAATGTACTCCGGACTTCCTCCACACATCCATGCCGTTTTCTTCGTGCCTTTATGGCACGGTCCACACTGCCACAAGAGACCAGGTCAATCGGAAGTTTTTGTGCCTTCTTCGGAGCTGAGGAACTCGATTTTTTTCACGTCGAGCCTTGAGCCTTACTCTGCCAGCAACTGCCACTTCTGCAGCTTGTAGCGTCTATTTGCGAAGTGTGCTTATGACCGTTGTGAACTTAACATACATTTCCTTGAAGAGGGAGATCAGCCGTTTAGGATCGTCACCTTCTTTGTGCGCTATCTAGAGAACTTGTCGCAGTAGGTAGTGGGAAGCCTCTTCTAGATCAAAGAAGGTCACAGGTAGCACGTTCTACGCTTTTCTCAATATTTCTCCATCATTTGCCTAATTATCGAATGACAGTATTTGTAGATTTTTCTGGCATGAAACCGAACTGTTTCTGTGATATTGTGACAAGTTTCCTATATTTCAGGTCGATTGAGCATTCGCACAGCTTCATGGTATGCGCAGTCAGCCTGATTACACGTTAGTTAGAACCATGCTTTGCATACCAATGCTGCTTTATGATTGGGACGACAAAACTGCTCCTCTGCTTGTCTAGTGTACTTCCTTCAGTGGTCACAGTGTTGAAGAATCTACTACCACCTAATTCACTTAATCCACAGGGTCACGTGCGCTTTCGATGCCTCTGATAGTACAACATAAGGACCAACTGCCTCCCCAACTTTATTATTCCTTATTGCTCGACTTACCTCATCTTCTGCCCAGAGTGCAATAATGTCAGCCGTCGCCTCTACCTAGTGCAATCCTTACAGTGTAATTCTATTCTTCGTTCAGAGCATTTGAGGGACTCTAATACTAGATAGTCACACCATTTCTTCTGGTGTTTTCTACATTGTGTAGGAGCTTGACATTTTCCGCGATTTCTTTGTTTTTTTTTNTTTTTTTTTCGAGTGCTTCTCCCGAAAGCATAGGAGTTGAGTGTTCTGTTCGTTGTTAGATTGAATATCTCTCAGAGTCTAAAGTAGGGGACCTACGTCGGAATTTCGAACTAACTTCTCTAGCCGAGGTCGTTCACTACAAGTATCTCTCTTATAACTGTCGTATCCACAGAACTCGGGAGGGGAATCCTGTACGCCTTTTGCGAGTGATGTCTTAGCTTTTATAGTGGTTCTCTTAAATTTCTTTGGCATGTTTCTAGGCAGGTTTTCTTTTTCATCGGCTGGCCTGTCAACCTAGGCCAGACGCTGGTATCGACACGATTTTAATGTTTTTTTTATTATTTATTTTTTTATCTACACAATTTTCTTACGAGAAATGGTTCTTGCCTCGGCATCCATCAAACTCTCGCTTTTGGGAGACATGAACACTCAGCTGTCCCTGCGGAAGCAGAGCACAAAATTGGTATTAACAAACACTAAACTAAACGCCATCGAGACCACAGCGGCAGATCAGCTTTCTAACAGTAGATCGAATTCGATATTTTTTGAAAGTATACTCACAAGCTATCTTCAAATTAGTACATGAGAATGGAACCGTAAAAGCTTCCTTTGACTCGTTGTCTTATACCTTTTGGGTTTTGTGGAGAAATTCGAATTCCGAGACATAGGAACTGACGAAAGAGGTATTATTTTGACTTAACCATTTGTTACCCGCCAAAGTGCATGATACGGAATTCTCACAGAGTGGCAAGTTACGGACAATGCTAGGTCTCGAATGAGTCTCGAACCCGAAAACGTGCTACACAGGTTCTCTCATCCCTTACACTACCGAGACGCCGTTTGCCCTCATCTTTTTAACGGCTTCATAGATTATCAGCACTCACTGGTACAACGTGCTTGGGAATGAGGGCAGAGGAAACCAACGGCACGCAGCTCAGAGAGATTGAAACCCAGAAGATGATTATGAGAACGAATATGAGCACAGTATCACCTGTATCACCTGTCGTCCCGTTGATCGTCGATTTCCTCGAGCGGGTACCAGTAAGGTCTCCATTCGTTCCTGTCACGAGCCAGAGTGATCCAATGGAATGAATCATGAACCCCTGAATGAATACGAAGATCAACATGCCTTTCGTTCAGAGCTTTCGTAAAAAATTCTAATCTCGTTGGCGGCCGTCCTGGAGTTCGTTTGATGTCCCGAGGGATCTAGCCAGTAACCGCCCTAGCCCAGCGGTCATCACTATATCGCATAACGTCTCCGGCCCAACTGATCTTCGATTTCTTGGCGTAATCAACGGCATCCCTCATCTTCGTTCGTTGACGGAGCTCAGAACTCCGGATTCCCTACAGCACTTGCGTGTACGGCAAACTCCGAGCATCATATTTTCCAAAGCGCGTAGAGCAACGCTGACAGCATGTTCATCCTGCTTTCGTAGAGTTCAAGTCTCTGAGGCGTACGCCAGAGCGGGAAGGACAGCGGTGTCGAAAAGGTGAACGCGGGGCCGAATGTTCTTTGTTTTTTCAACCATTCCCTCGATATTCCTAAATGCTCCCCACGCGGCGCGTCTCCTTCTGCACAGCTCCGGATCTAGGTCGTTCATCATGTTGACTTCCCGACCCAGATACACATAGCTAGTGCTTTCGGAGATACTTTTTCCGTTTAGCGTGAAGGGAGCATCAGGTACCAATCCGCTCTTCATGATCATCGTCTTCGTTAAGTTCAGCCTCTCACAAGCATTATCAAACTCGGCCAGCATTCGTTCCGCCTGCTCGATATTGGGTGTTATAAGCACGATGTCATCTGCAAACCGGAGATGACGTAAGTAGCGGCCATCGACCTTCACTCGCATGCTTTCCCATTCCATAT